ATCCTAAGCATAAATGCTGAAAAAATAGGAATTTTGGAACAAAAGTACTATCTGATTTTTTTTTAATAGATAATTCCAGACATTGTGTAGATTGGGTTACCAGAATCATTTCAATACATTAAAAATTTCATTAGAAATATGTGTATGTAGATTTATCACTCTGCATGATATACTTTTCAGTACATTTCCAAAGGAAGGTAAATCTTCTTTCTGCACATTAAAAAAATATTTAAAAAAAAATCAAGACACACACCAAGCAATATGATAAAATAATTTTAAGTTTTTCTGATATATTATTTGAACTGCTAACTACATATGAAAAAAAATCTCATTATGCAATCTGTTCGAGATCATTTTTTAATCACAAATCCTATTGTAATAGTCTTTGTATGTGTTATTTTATATTAATGTGTACTATATGTAAGAAAGATATGTTCAATCGGTATGTTAATTATTTCACGTGTAGCTTAAAGCATTGTTGCTAATATATAAAAGGACACTCTGCTATATAAATATGAAGATTAAAAAACCCTAAAAATAATTGAATGTTTAGAATGTATATATAGTACTAATGAGCTAAACAGATGGGATAGTGTTTTTAACTTCACTGAAAAGTACTAAAATAAAGTAACTGACAGAATCTGTGTAACTGAAGATAAATGTTGTGAAAAACTCTCTAATAAGAGTGCCCACTCCAGAGTTAATAGTTGGAGCCAATGGTTTGTGCCTTGCTGACAGTCCATGTCCTGTCAACAGTTAAATTTCTGCTCTTTAGGGACATCAAGCAATTTGTATGTGGGGATTCGCTATTTGTTCAAGGGTCTTTATCTGTATTTCAGTGTGTCCATGTGGAGATTCATTATCTTCAGTGGGACTTCATTTGAGTATAAGCATCCACCTACACAGATCAGACTGCATGCTAAGGGCCTTAGTCTATTCTCCAATCACTATGTGGCGATTTGAGAAGGCAGCTTTCATTAAAAAGTCTAGTCAAATGAAAAACGTAACAATTTAGATGATTTCAACTGAAATAATTTAATTTGCTGCTTTAATTTTAGCCCTTCACTCAGTTTGAACAATACAAATAGACACATCAGTTTCACTTTCAGGTTCTCCTGAACAATGCTAACCAGCAAACATTGCAGGATAATGTTTAAACCCAAAGAGAAAACTTGTAATTTATTTATCTTTAATGTCACAAAAACATGTCTCTTAATATTAAAGGGGGAAGTTGCATTTTTTAAAACCAAAACTAAATTAAGCCTAATCTATCTGACAATATTTCTAACAAACTGGAATTAGGAACCCATTCTTGCAAGCTACTCCAAGCATGCACAGCCTAAGGGCTTTTCTACAAAGGGACACTCAAACTTGTCACACAGTGCAGCAGTGCGCATTACAAGGCTGTAAACTGTAGAATGCTTTAATGTATTGCATTCTAACTGCCTCGTATAGACCTTGCTGACATGCTCTAAAAGGTACCTAGCGTGCACAGACAGTCTCGTTTGAAACAGCACTACATTAACACACACTAGGAACCTTTTACAATGTGTCAGCAGGGTCTACACAGGACAGTTGGCATGCAACACATTAGAACACTCTACAATTTACATATACCCTTTTGGTGAGCACTGCCACACCATGTAGACAAACCCTCAGGAAAGTTAAGGTGAATCAACTAAAGGTGTGAGGTTCATGTACATAAGTCCTGGCCTACACCTAAAACTTAGGTTGACCTAGCTACATCACTAAGGGCTGCGAAAAATGTCACACCCTGTGTGACCTCGTTAGGTCAACCTACCCCCCGCCCCACTGTAAATGCAACTAGGTTCATGGAAAAATTCTTCCATGAACCTAGCTAAAGCCTCAGAATGGGGGGAATTTACTACCTATAGTAGGTGTCTACATTACAGCAGCATAGCTGCAGCACTGCAGTTGTGCTACTGTAGCACTTGAAGTGTAAACATAACTCTAAATTAAATCATTTTAACCCCGTGTGGATGCTTTCATTCAGGCGTAAGTGGTCTTAGTTCATTATAATTTAAAACCGTTTTACTCTTGAGTAGGAGCCTCCATATGGGAGTTTAACACTCTGATTTATGCACACTGACTTCAGATCTCTAACTGATTCACCTTAACTTTCCAGAGTGCCCCAAGTACATAAATGTTTCCACTGGAGATATTTACAATGGAACAATAGCACACTTAATATTCTTCTTCACAGGGGAATAAAACAACAAAGATCCTTGGCCTACAGAAGGGGTTCTCAGACTTCTGTACTGGTGACCCCTTTCACACAGCAAGCCTCTGATTGCGATCCCCCTTATGCATTAAAAACACTTTTTTATATATTTAACACCATTATAAATGCTGGAGGCAAAGCAGGGTTTGGGGTGGAGGGTGACAGCTCGTGACCCCCCATGTAATAACCTCGCGACCCCCAGTTTGAGAACCCTTGCCCTATAGACATAATTAATTTCCAGTAGAATGGCAAAATGTCAACCCTGTCCAGGATTTTTCCAAAACACTAAAACATGGTGACTGATCACATTTTCATCCCCCAAACTCTCCTTTTTGGGGGGGTTTTGAAACTTAGTCTAAACTGACTGAACTCACAATTGAAAACTTTAATTCCACCATTTCCAAATTTACATCACCAAATTTGTGGTGCACAGTCCTGTCCATGAGCTGTCAGGAATATAAGCTCAGTTCTTTTATATTTGAGTTCATAATATTTCACTGGGACAAAGCATGTCCATAATATTGTCTTAAAACACCACTAATGTTGTTGTCACAGAAATTCACAAATTAGAAGCAGCAGTTTTCAATGTCAATAGATTTAGAATGCCATTTTCTCCCCAGAATAAAGTGCTAATATTTAGAGACTTATAAACTGACAAAAACTGTTATATTAGAGACTTTCCATTAAAATTAATGTATTTCTAAGTGTTTGTAGGATCTGGACTTAAATTTGGAATAGGGTAGAAATTAAATCCAAGACAATAAAGCAATCAAGAACCATGCCAGAAATATATATTACATATACACTTGTTTTCCCAGGCTTTTGCCTGAGGGGGTGAGGGCAGAAAATGTGAATGCTACATTGTAAAGTCAAATACAGGAGACTAGTCTCTTTATTTTGTTTTTAAGTTAAATTGGCTAAATAACTATATTTTTTTTAGAATTTCTACATATGCTCAGACACAGCTATGAAGAAAACACTTTTAGAAAATCAGTACAAAAAACAATTATTATAATTAAACAGACCCTGTTTCTTGTTTGTTTTAATGCATAAATATTCTGCAATCCTTCTTGATAAAAACCCAAGACAGGGATTTTTATGGTGGGGAGGACTGACTTAGTAAAGCTGATCTTGCGGAGTTTTCCTCTAACCATTCCTGAGAGATCAGCATTTGTCCCTGCTGTGAAACCAGCATGATTCCAACCCAGAGCCATCAAATTCCACTAGATCCACAGAAGACTATGTTTGAGAGGCTGTGGGCCCCCCGGGCACTGTCCAGGCTTCCCTCAATGACAGCTGTCCCTGGAAGCATGCATGAGTACCACAGGATACCGAGGGAATATAGAAAAATTAATGCAGCCTGAAGGGGCATACACTTTTTTTGCAGATTCAAGAATTTTAAGGCTAGAAGGGACCATTAGATCTTCTAGTCTGACCTTCTGTATAACACGACTCCGTGCAGGAAGTGGGATAGGATGATACCATTCCTCAACCTCTTACCTCCTCAGGCAAGGATCTCCAAACCTAGGGAGGGGAAGTGTAGGGACCGTGCTCCCCACAAGCAAAGGAGTAGATCTGAACATGGATGATCCACTGTGTTCAGAGAGCTCAAGTTCCAGGTACATACTCCTGGTGACTTTGAAAAGTAATGTTAAAGTTTGTACTTGGGTTCATCCTTAATCTAGCACATTAAAAACAAAACAATAAAGATTCCCTTTATTTTAATACAGTTTTCATTTTATGCGGTTTGCCTTTCCAATAATCTTTTTTAAAACATGTTGTGAAACCACCATTTTTCTCAGTCTCATCTTAAACTTCTAGCTTTCCAGAATCACATACATTTTACTTTATGATCCATGGCCACATTCCAGGTGGGGTTGAGAAACAAACTTAAAAGTTTGCTCACTGGATTCTACATATAATAATACTTTACATCATTATACAGCACCTCTCAATTAAAGAACTCAAAAAGGTTTATGGAAATGGAAAAGGTTAGCTAAACAGATGCATTATATTTGCAACATTGATGTCTAGCCCACGTCTATGCACCATTAAGGAAAAAGACTCACTATTGTGCTAATCCAGACTAAAATCTGACAAGGTTATTGGGGGGGCGAGTTTAAATCGCAATTAAATACCCGTCACAACTCCTCCACCCCTTTTTTCTCTCTCTTGTCGGAGGACTTCCAAGCAGGCACTTGTTAGCAGCTCCTGACACTAGAGAGATCACTCGCAAAGCTGCCGGGGGGCGCATTGGAAGATTACATCCCCAAATCAGCAGCTCCCCTTCCCGAGAACAATAGATAATGGGAGGAAGGGGGTGTCTCAAGGTCTGTCTGTCTGTCTCCGTATCCCCGAATCTCACTCCTCCGTCTTTGTCTGTCAGTCGCCCAAGTGCGAGCCCCGCTCGCGGCGCAGCAGCCGCCCTGCAGCTCTCACTCCGCCTCCTGCCCCGAACTCAGACTCCGGCAGGGAAAGCCCCGAGCGCAGCCCGCATCAAGGGGGGGCGGAAGGAAGCTCCCCTCACATTCACCCTCCACAGCAACACAGGGGGGGTGGAAGCCTCCTCGCCCCCCCTTCTTCCTCCTCAGGCTCCGGCCTCCCCCGCCCCGCTCGAGGTTCCGCAGAGCCTCCGGGCCGCTTGGCCCGCAGCGCCGCGCACAGGGAGCGGCGAGGCCCAGCTTCTCTCTCGCTCCCTCCCTCCTCCCTGTGCGTGAGCGGCCGGGCCGACCCAGCTCCCCCGCGCCCCGGGGCTTACCGGCCGCGGCGCTGCGAGGGGAAGGCGGGAGCGGCGCTCAGAGTCCCCGGGCCGCTGCCCCGGGCATGGTGGGCCCTGAGGGAAAGTTCGGCGGCGGCGAAGGCTCCTTCCTGCTCGGCGGCTCGAGGAGCGCAGCAGCGTCGGCCTCCTCCTGGCGGTGACAGCGACAGGCCGGCCAGAGCGCCGCCGCGCCGCGGTGCAGGCTGGGAAACCGCCGGGAGGACCCGCAGCCGCCCAGGCGCCGGAGCCCTGGGAGTCGCCGGGGCTACCCGCGGACGGAGCCTCGGCTGCCTGCTGGGGCGAGTGGGGGCGGCGCGCGGGAACCTTGGCACTCCGGGGGAACGGGGGGAGCGGAGGGAGCCGGGGCCTGAGGAACCGGCCGCCTTGGGCAATGGCGGTAGGGGAATGGAGTCTGAGGAGCCGGTCACACGGGGGATAGGGAGCGGGGGGGGTGGGGAGCTGGTCACACTGGGGGATAGGGAGC